ACTACACAAGCTCGTGGCCCGACAACAGGCGCCGTCTGTCTTTACTTTGACCCAGCCCGATTTCGGAGGGTGCCACTGGATTATGCGGAGAGAGTGGATGGCTGCCCCTGCCCGTGTGTAGGCCTCAGCCGCCTTAATATAAGCTTGTGATCTGCGAAGGACTTCCGACCGTAGCGAGCTATTTATAACAATGGTTACACCACACGCTGCCATTGCTAGCCCACATGGGGAGAAGATTACGAGAGTCCATCTTCTATTTCTCATTTTTCTGAAAACAAAAATAATAATATAGGGAGATTCTACGGTTAGTTACGGAACCATTCCGTTGGGGTTGTTGGAATATCAGTTGTGAGTTGTCCCCCATTGATTTTATAGAGAAAATAAGCATAGTATATAAGTCTAGTGGGCTACTCCTTCCATCACTAATTGGTTTTGGGATGGAACCTCACTAAGGTGTATCTAGGCTCACTCTGTTATGGTGCTCTTCATCTGGTGGGACCACACTCTTTTCTCCCGATTCTAATATGGTATCAGAGAGAGCGGGCCTGTCATATGACCTGCAAATGACTCTCTCTACCCGACCTGCTCTGGGCTTGGGCGTATCTCTCTCCTCGGCCTGCTATGTGGGCTTGGACTTACGAATGACTCACAAATGAGGGGGCGTGTTGGAATATCACTTGTGAATTGTCTGTCACACATTGATTTTTTACAGAAAAAATGAGCATAGTATATAAGTCTAGTGGGCTACTCCTCTCACCACTAATTGTTTTTGGGATGGAACCCCACTAAAGTGTATCTAGGTGCACTTCATCTGGTAGGACCGCACTATTGATTTAACGGTTAAAAATTCCGACAGAATAATTTCGAAATAATTTCGTAATGGGACTGTAACATTTCCCAATAATATAATCATAATTGATTAAAAAGCGAAGAGTAATGCTACATAACCAACCTAGTGTACAACTAGGTTGACAACACAAGTATAAACACTCATAAAATTAAAATAAAAAAATAAACAAGTGGATGTTTACACTTGTGTTGTCAACCTAGTTGTACACTAGGTTGGCAATGTAGCATTTTTCAAAAGCGAAAGGCCTACCCTACATAAACATATGCAAATTGCAAGTCGCACTCCAAATTTCAGTTGCTATTATTATTTATTAATATATATAATATTAGTATTAATATTATTCCCCAAAGAAAGTCAAATATATTCCCTTTTCTCACCGTTCAACTCTTCTTCTCCATCTGGATTTAATCCGCCGTCGTCCTCCTCATTTTTTAATACAAAATAATCTTAAAATACCCTTTTGTTTTTTCCTTAAGCTTGTTGGAAAATAATAATTGGCAGCCATGGACGGCGGAGGAGGACGACCGGGCGGCGGTGCTCCCCAACAAACCGGCGCTGCCTCCGTCGGCGTCCGGATCCACAGCACCCGCCGTCTGCCGGACTTCCTCCAGAGCGTCAACCTCAAGTACGTCAAGCTGGGGTACCACTACCTGATCTCCCATCTCCTCACACTCTGCCTCGTCCCCCTGATGGCCGTCGTCACGATCGAGGCCGCTCAGATGAACCCCGACGACGTTCGCCTCTTGTGGCTCCATCTGCAGTACAATCTCGTCTCGGTCATTATCTTCTCCGCCTTCCTCGTCTTCGGATCCACCGTCTACATCATGACCCGGCCCCGCCCCGTCTACCTCGTCGACTATTCCTGCTACCGCCCTCCGGAGGCCCTCAAGGCGCCGTACGAACGGTTCATGACGCACTCCAGATTGACCGGAGATTTCGACGAATCCTCCCTCGAGTTCCAGCGCAAGATCCTCGAGCGCTCGGGGCTCGGGGACGAGACCTATGTCCCGGAGGCCATGCACTTCATCCCCCCACGCCCCTCTATGCGCGCCGCCAGGGAGGAGGCCGAGCAGGTGATGTTCGGGGCCCTCGACAACCTGTTTGCTGCCACCGGCGTGAAGCCCAAGGAGATTGGGGTCTTGGTAGTCAATTGCAGCCTGTTCAATCCTACCCCATCCCTGTCTGCCATGATCGTCAACAAGTACAAATTGAGGGGAAACATCAGGAGCTTCAATTTGGGGGGGATGGGGTGCAGTGCAGGCGTGATTGCCGTGGATTTAGCCAAGGACATGCTTCAGGTCCACAGAAATACATACGCTGTCGTGGTCAGCACTGAGAATATCACCCAGAATTGGTATTTTGGGAACAAAAAATCGATGCTGATACCCAATTGTTTGTTTAGGGTTGGGGGTGCTGCTGTCTTGCTCTCGAACAAGGCCAGGGACAGGCGTAGGGCCAAATACAAGCTTGTACACGTTGTTCGGACTCACAAAGGTGCAGATGATAAGGCCTTCCACTGCGTGTACCAGGAACAGGATAGTATGGGTAAAACTGGAGTTTCTCTATCCAAAGATCTAATGGCTATTGCTGGTGGTGCTCTGAAAACGAACATAACCACCCTCGGCCCGCTGGTGCTCCCGATTAGTGAGCAGCTCCTGTTCTTCGCAACCCTGGTGATCAAGAAGCTCATCAAGAAGAACGTGAAGCCTTACATACCGGATTTCAAGCTCGCGTTCGACCATTTCTGCATACACGCGGGTGGAAGAGCGGTTATCGACGAGCTTGAGAAGAATCTGCAGCTGCTGCCAGCCCATGTGGAAGCTTCTAGAATGACCCTGCACCGGTTTGGGAACACTTCCTCGAGTTCCATCTGGTACGAGCTG